GGGGGGGGGGGGGGGGGAGCAAAAGGGGGAGAGGAAGTGATTTACAAAGTGATTTACAAATGCACATGGATAAATGACATATGGAACTACATCTGGCTTCTTGTATACTGTGATCTCTATAGCATGAAAAAGGGAAGTTAACAATTAAGTAGGTATTATTTAGATGAAACGCACGAACATCTGTCGGTCTCTGAAGAAGTGCGCAATGTTATCAAGATAAGAATATCTATGTACATCTTTTATTGACTCTTGTGTTAACGGTCGTGTAAATAACTTTCACATGACAAATGTGAAAAAGAAATACCAAGTACATATAAATAAGTAAATAGATATATGTATATATTTACATGTCTTCGTATATATACACGCATATATACATAAGTACATACATACCATATAACGTATATATATGTGTATATGTGTGCGTGTATATATATATATATATATTTACTTGCGTACGTTTATTCCGCTTATACATACATATTATAAGCGGGAAAACGTTGGAAAATTTTATATATCGTTTCAAGCATCATATGTAAAGTAAAACGTGTAAAATAGAGATCTAGAGATTAGGCTGATTTTATTATATAACTTGTTACGGTGAAAACGTGAAATAATGAATGTTGTAAATATAGACCTATTTAGTTATTAAGAACATGTTTGTATCATTCTTTCACAAATCCTAACCCGAAGAAATACAATCTATTAAAATATATATTTTCACACGGAACAATTTACTAAGCATTTAAAATAGTAATTCTAAAACTCTGACTCTCCCAAGTTAGACGTCCCAATTTTGCTAAATCTGATATTTAATGAAAAGTATTATCGCCACAGTTTTTTACTAAACTTAGATATGTAAAATTTGGAACGTTCTGTTATCTATTATAAACATAGTACACATCACACAGATTGAAGGAAAATTCTTCCTTTTTAATTTTATTAAAAAGATATATCATTTACATGTACATATGCCCTCATTGAAAAAATATTACATCATCTGCTATGATAGCTGTACTAGGACGAGAATTTCCTTCATCATCTTTAAATTCACTGTAACTTAATCTACCATTAACCATTACTCGCTGGCCTTTTTTCAAGAACTGATATACAGCATCCCTCAGATTAGGTTTGAAGACACATACCTTATGCCAATCTGTCCTTTGCATGAAATCACCTGTGAACGAAGACATTTCGGAATAATCAATTTGTACATAACATTATTCAATTTTCAAAACAAAACAGATTACAGACCTGTTTCATACTTATAGTTTGTATGCGTTGCGAGAGAAAATATTACAACTGGATGCTCAGTAGTACCACGTTTCTGTGGATTTGCCCCAACTCTTCCCAGTAAAGTTACACTATTTACAGCTGCAATCAAAACAGAGAACATTTTATGTTAAGGTGAGTAATATTAAGCAGTAATTCGTATATTTTATATATTAAATGATTTAAATGTTAATTACTTAACAATAATCTTTATACTTCTATATATATACATATGTATATAGAAATTACATATAATATACCTTGGCTGTTTTTATATATTACTATGTATATTCACTGCTAATACTAAAAATCTGTAATATACGTAACATGAATTATAAATTTTCAATACTGGCAGAGAATATACGAATGAATTACACATATAATTATATATTACGTTGTACAACGTAATTAATACATCTCGCACAAATATACGCATATAAGAATAGTTAATTGTATAATTACACTTTTCTATTTTTGTGGCTTCATTAGTGTCTTGTGATAAAAATCGTGCGTTGTTTAATCGACCGATATGATTGCGTGTTCCTAAGATAACCTAAAAATAGCACATGACAAAAATTAAAAATACAAAATCTAAAATGATTTTACGTCTTGTCTGTGTATAATTAAAGTAGTATTACTCACTCTGCGCAACATTGTGACAAGCCCACTGTAAATTATTTATGTCCACTAAAAATAAAATAGCAATAATCAAATTGCAAGTCAAGAATCATACAGACACCGGTGTATGACTCCCACTAACGGAAGGTTATGTTCTATCGATGAGTCGATATGCACGATTCCTTTCTTCTTAAAAGATCGATTATCTTTTTATCGTTCTCAAAGTACGCATTTCCATTTTTCATTGTCAAGAAAAACAAATTTTTATTTCTCACTGGTAAATAACAATTAAAGTCTATCAGATTTACATTCGGTCGTACTATCAAAGATTATAAACTTTGTCTGATCCGTCATTGAGTAGCACTACTTGAACGTAAAGATCCTTTCATGTCCGTTGAAAGATAGTGCTATTTAAAAATAAGAGCGAACATTTTCAAAAACAAATGACGCCTGAGCTAATTAATTGCAATTTTTGCACTTGTCTTTTTATATCAGCAATATTCCTTCATTACCCAGTAAACACTAATAGTAACATGTCAATGTTATAATTTCCCATTAACAATGTAAATGCAATATAACGCGTGTGTTATGTAACAGTTATATTGTGTGGGAAATTATAACATTGATGTTACTGATAGTTGGTGTTTATCGGGTTATTTGTTGTTTATTATTAACTTCACATGCTTGATGTTTTTAAGCATTTTTATCTTTATTATCATCTCTCATGTTAAGAATTGAACATAAGCAAACACAATGAAGCAAAGGAAGAATATGCCATTGAATAGTGTGTAACAATTTTATTAAATATTCCCGTTAGAATTTGACGGATTTTGTGTCGGAATTTGTATCGGGTGCAAATATAAAATCGTAGAAATTCCTGCTCATCCCCAGGAAACGAACCGCTGTGCATTAGAAAAAGCACGATACATGACTCTTTCGTATTTCCACGTATGTGGAATTAAGCGGCGAGTACAAACACCAAACTCTTCACTTTTACTCGCTATATTCCACCGATATTCTGAATACATCGAAACTTGCATAAAGGCAATGCTAAATTAAATTAAACGTAAAAATGTCTGGTCACGCTGCGTCGTTCTGCGTTCCATTAATCGTCCTCCTCTCGAACACCTCCCGGCGGAGCTTTCGGGCCGCCTGCCCGTTTCGCCATGATGATCTGATCCACTTTGAGGACGGTGCACGCCGCGCCTACTGCGTACTTCATCGCCCATTCTTTTGTCAAATACAAATCCAAGATGCCCGCCTCGACGGTGTCTATCAAGGCCGACGCTCCTGCGCCCTGTGAGACAGGAAGATACAATTCACATTATCTCTATTGATACTGATGCTGAATCCTTCAAAAAATATCGCTCATTGGCCAGTCTATCGTCTATATCTATCGTCACAGCCGTATTGGCTGCTTTCAACTGAATACACTATTCAATAAACGATTAATAAACAACGATATCCCGAGTATGAACTAAAATGAAAGGATCATACGTCGATGTTAAAGCCATAGTTCTTCTTTCCCTCTTTGTGCGCCGCGTATAACTTGGATAGAACTTCGGATGCGTGAGTGCCGCTGCTCTCGGCCAACGTCTTGGGGAATACCTCCAGAGCAGCGGCGAATTTGCGCGTAGAGTATTGCTGCAGGCCGGGCATCATGTCGGCGGACGAGGCCAATTGCGCGGCTAACTCGATTTCCGTGGCGCCCGCACCCGGTAAAAATGCGCCGTTCCTCGTGATGCCCTTAAACGTGTTGATGCCGTCGTCGATCGCGCGTTCGATGTCGTCCATGTAGTTCTCGGTAGAACCACGCACGAGCACCGTGCTGATGCGGCTCTCTTTCCCGTCCAATCTGAACACTACGACTATGGTGTCCCCCAACTCGTCGATGTACACCGTATCGGCGTATCCTAATTCTTCGGACGACGGAGGTACCTTCAGAAAAGAACGTTATTGTTCAGTTGAGTCAACGTTACGCGCAAAGGCAGATCTACAGTGGATAAAGACGTTATTAACGCAAAAATTCATAAAATCATCGATGATTCATCGTTGGTTCAAGAGGTGAATCTTTACAGAATCAGTCTGTCACTTGAAGATTGTGAGTAACAATGACAGATACTTTGAACATGACACGTTCAAACGTCTCACTATTATTAATAAAGAAACATATAGCTAATTAAATAAAAAAAGCGTTCCAAAACCGTACTCGACGGGTGGAGTAATATTCAACTGACCAATCAGAACGCAAAAAGCAAAGATTCTTTTACCATGATGATTAATTAATGCTACTCTGCTAGTCGAGCAGGATTTTAGAACGCAGCCGAAGAGAGGCGTGATCGGGATGAGTAAAATTACCAGTTTCGAAAGCGCAGTGGCGCTAACGGATTTGCAAAGTCGCCTCAGGTCGAATTTGCTCGGTATGCGGACAGCCATCAAGTTGTACTTGTTCATGTAATGCAGAGCCATGTCGCCGAACTTCCCTCCGGCCACCACCACCGAGGCGCCGCTCTCGGCGATCGCCTTGATCTGGTTCTCCAGCAATGATTCCTCGCCTCGCGAGAACTTCATCAGCTCGTCCGCGGTCTTTATCAATACAGTGCCCTTCGTCTCGGTCTGTGTGATGTCTATGGCACCGGTGTAAACCGCAATCTTGGCACTGGTCTTCGTCGTGACGTCTCCCTCGACCTGGCGTTTGAACACCATGCCTTGCACCACCTGGGAGTTGTTCAGCCCGCCGCCGAGTATTTTGCAAACTCGCACGTTGTCGACGTTGAACGTTGTTTTCTCCGGTAGAATGGAAATGCAAGCCTGACTGATGAGAGACGCAAGAATATCCTCGTTCCCATACTGCTTGCTCATGACAGTGGTCCTGATCCCTTTCTTCACCTGCTCCTCGTTGCGCACGTCCGTCACCTCGTGCACAACCAAGGACTGTAAAATTACCAGCGCATCCGCCAGGGCATTTTCATAACCTTCGACTATCTCGGAAGTTGTAATTCCCTGTAATCGAAAAATTTATGTGAATTATCTATTCGTTCAAGTACAAATCCTTTCTGTGTAGTGTCCTATCACGATGAATGTGATATTAAAATGATTTATTTCAATTTATTAAATCTAAATATTTTGGATATATTTTAGACTAGAAATCAACGTACCAAACGAAGCAGCTCTTCCGCATTATGTAGCAGCGCTCCGGCAAAGATGATGACAAAGTTCGTCCCGTCTCCCACTTCCGCTTCCTGCATCTTTGATGCTAGGACTAACAACTGTGCAGCTGGATGTTCCACTTCCAGCTCGCTGATAATTGTCGCCGCATCATTGGTCACAAACAGCTTCTCAATATGATTAATTACCATCTTATTCATGCCATTAGGACCATATGCGCTCCTCACAGTATCCGCTAATTGTTTACAGGCTGTTATATTCCTATATACAGCTTCTTCGAGACCGGAAAAGTACTGAGAATACAAAATAATAAATGACTTATTAAAGGAGACTTCTCTTCCTCAGTAAATATTCAAGTTTGGCTCAAATAAAAACACAATGTCAAATATATTCGATTCTTAATACATTCCTATATCTTATTGCTCAACAATCGAATATAATTTAATTTTCAGGAAATAAAAAGTGACCGATGAGAATAAATTTCTGCCATATCTTGTTGTCATATCAATTACACTTCAATGAGATTCAATCGAAATTCTCTTGAATCGTAAATTTTCCGGTATGCTGAAATGTGAAAATTTCTATAAAAGGTGAGAACAAGCCGATCCCTCCTTCGTGCAGCCTACTCGGGAGCGAACATCCATTAGTCATCGGAGCGAAGCTCTGATAATTTGTGATTATTGCGACAAAATTACACTTACGCGTGCTCCATCCTTGAGCATTTGCGCTACACCGGGAGCTTTCGGCACGTGCATAGCCATTTTCGTCGGAAATTTCGAAGATCTTCGCCTATTCGCATGTGACACGCGACAACGCGCTTTCGTTTGCTCCGGAGCGACACGATCGAGATTTTTCTTCCGGATGGGCTTCCATCTAGGCTAGGGATATTTGCGCCGGTAAAAAGACCGCGTTTGCAACGGCGCTACTTTGAACGCACTGGGGCCCCGCTTTTCAATCTGCTCGCCAATCAGCGCTTTTTGCACAAATTTGAGTAATATTAATTATTTATTCGGAAAATACTACAGATATATATCTTGTTTTATATATTTTCTGTTTACTCATTAGAAGTTAACGAACCTAAACTTTCGGCTATTCCACCTGTAGTAAATTGTGCATCTCGATTGTAAGAAAATATTTATATCGACCGAATGTTATTTTAATAATTACACGTTTACAGTATTAATTCCTCAGCGATATAGTCCAACTTTTGTAAAAATATAACAATACATCAGAGAGAAAATATCTAACCTAACGATATCGCGTGACAAGTGATGCTTTCCATTTGTTGGCACAAGTCGACACAAACATCATTTTATCTTTGTCCCGCATTCAATGAATAACAAAGATAGGATGATGCTTGTGCCGACTTGTGCCACCAAATGGAAAGCACCAATGTTGTGCCAAGTGTGAGGACGCCTTAAGGGATTGGCAGGAAGGAAGGATCAAGTGTACCGTATCCAGATTCGTTGAAGAAAAAACAGACGGGCAAGGAAGTGTGGATAAGAGAAATCACGAACGAAGCGCGTGAAATCGAATCCAGCTGACGGGTCTCGCAGGTTTAACGAGTGGTCCGGGCTTCGTACGACCAGGTGTCCAAGGTAGCTTCGATACACCTATCGCCTGTGTGTCCCTTGCTTCCTTACCACTTACCTCCTCGCCGTTCTTCTGTTACGCGAACGGAAATTTCAATTGGTGATCCGCTTTTTAATTTCTGCCGTACGCATACACAGCTGTTATGGACATGGTGATCTCGAATTTGCAACAGCAGCGTCAAGTGACGGAGCAGCTGCGCCGTGAAGCCGCCCTCAAACGGATCACGGTGAGCAAGGCCGTGGAGGATATGATGAAGTACATCACCGAGCATGAGCAGGAGGATTGTCTGCTGGTAGGCTTCTCGTCGCAAAAGTCCAATCCCTTTCGTGAGAAAAGCACGTGCGTTATCCTTTAAACCCACGTGCTTGCAATGAAAAAAAAGGTCATGGCATGACACGCAAGGAACGTTTGAACTTTTGTCTCACCTGTAACTGCGTGTCAGTTTTTGATAACAATGATAAGCATATTTACTAATGTATCTTCCTTTTTTTTTTTTTTATTAAGTAGGATAGTAAGTGATCTTATTAAATTATTCTATGCGTGAGCAAAGGGACAACGATATTTGTGAAACTATCTGTTGAAAGAAGCAACTTTCTTGTTTCTGCTAACAAGAGTGCATTTTGTGCCGAGAGGTTTGCTAACGAAAGTGTATTTTGTGCTTACGAAGTTTTTATGAAGCTTCCGGAATCACTGAATTACTCGTTGAAGGTTTATAGAGAATCTTGTATGAGTTACGAAGGGTTCATGCGTGTGCCTAATTTTCCTACTATCTATAGCCTGGTTAAAGCTACTCCAATTCCGAGTTATATCTGGAAAAACAAATGTATTTTTATATGGATATAAAAGAAGATATACTGTTTATATTCGCGTACCTATTAAAATCATAAAAATAATTGTCTGGTTGCCAAAAATAGATTCCATGTCCAGACTATTATTATTTATTAAACATGATAGGACATGATTAATAATAATAAAGCATTTTGATAATAGATCTAAATAAGAATATATGGAACGTGTGAAATAATCGACGTTGACTTGTAATCAATGTGTTTTGAATGAATCTTCATGACATACATTGCACAGATCAGTCTTATTCCAGTGCCTTGATGAAGTGCCTTTATCAAAGTTTGAGACTGACAACAGTAATGGTCACGTAATATATCTAAATATATTTTTATTTTCAAGAAAAACATGTTTAATACACATACATATATACTTTCCTGGTCAAATATGTGTTAAATAAAGTGTAACATATATTTAAAATATGATTTTATCTTTTCCCCAGCTAATACCTTTCTTCGAAATACTTTATCATACGAATATAAAATTATATTTCAAGAAATATATTGCAATTTTTCTGATCATATTATCAAGGTGCGGCTGTACGATTTTTCTCCATTCAAGTTTCGGTCTCATTCTGTCCTAACAGGAATGATCTGACAAATTACGTACTGATACCTACGATTCTACTCTCTCTCTCTCTCTCTCTCTCTCTCTCTCTCTCTTTCTATATATATATATATATAATATTAGTATATATATATATATATATATATATATACTAATATTAAACGTGGTCGACAATAAGCAGCAGTATGTTTGCAAGAAGTAAGAAATTAATCATTCATAGTCGATTAATCTTTCTTATATTCGAACATGATTGGTCAATTTCTTATTCCTGTTTCTTATGAACATATTTCTACCACCCATTGTACACTACGCTCTTTATATGCACAATTACAAAATTATGATGTTGCTTTAGTCTTTCTAGCTTTTTTCGCCTTTGGTGGTTCGTCGGATTTGTCCAAATTAGGATACATGGTTTTAAACTCAGGAACAAGTTCCGCCACTTCCTTATAAGTTTTCAGAACTGAAAGCAAAATTACCAGCTGCTTATAGTTTTATATAAATTTAGTACCAAAACAAAGAGATGTGTACTTTATCTTGTATATCTTTTTCTATTCGTTCGTATCCTACTGTATTCTTCGCGATACCAAATACGATACTCACACGACTGCTCGATAGTATTGTTCGGCGGCGGACCGGGCTTCTTATCCAGAGCTAATTTTTCCACTATTTGTATTTGACTTTCCAATTTATAGGATTTGAACTTGTGCGGACAGTATTCCATGTTTAATTGATCGATAGTCCTTTTCCACAGCTCGACCTCCTCGTTGGTTACTTGCTGCTGCGTCCTGTAATGATCCAACACTTCGCTCTTATCTCCTATGCTTCCTAAAAAATACAATTTATTCTCACTGAATATAAAATACTTTGTTAACAATCGTATTGCAAGTATTGCATCGTATTATAAGAGATATAAAAAAAGGAGACTATATATACAAATACCTTGGAAAGAAACTTTCGATAAGTAGAAACCACCCAATTCCACGTTCGGAATCATATAGCAGAGATTGGTTTGAGTGTTCACCCGCATCGTGAATGTGCAAACTATCATTTTGCCCGCGGCGGCGCATTTGTTCAATAAAGCGCCGAAGAACAATAGATTGTCTGTGGAGAAACGGGACGCTTGACATTCCGCTGTTGCATTAAGGTACGACATCGATGGACTGGGTGCCGTCAGTGTGCATTCCATTTATTTAGGAGTTTAAGTTACCTTTGCGAGTACTACCGTTGTTTGGTCTGACAAAGTACTGCCGTTTCACGTGGTACCGAAAGAGATCGTTCGGTATAGGCTTCACGCCGATTAACTTGATGGCCGGCGGATGTATGTGCTTCACTCTGGAAATCTCCTTTGGCGTGAAATGCAGCTTTCTGCCACCGATCTCACGCTCAGTTTCCAAGTTGACTTCCTCCGGTATCAGGTAAGGCAAGTCAGCTTCTTCATCGTCATTGTTCTCCTATTAACACGAATCAGACAAATTAGTGATATCTTAAAATCATTAATATCAAGGACCTAAGATACACCGTATCTCAGATGTATCTACTCATTATATACCATCTAACTCATTATATACGCCTAATCAGATTTGTTTTACGCGTTAAGCGGGTAAAATGTACCTCATCATAAAAATTCTCGTCGCCTTTGAAGTATGTCGATCTCGACAGAATCTGACCGGTCGCTTTACTTAGCTGCTTCATTTGCAAGCATCTACGTTTCCTGCAAACACGAATTTACAATTTTATTTGACGGAATAATGCGGTGACATTAGAAGAAATAAATACTGTCACCAATGGTATTTGATATTTAGAAGCCATACCTGCCCAGAGTACGCACAACTAGATCAAGCTCCAAATTGTCGCACATCTTGAAGGATAATTGCGCGATGTTCTTGGGCGGTGCTTGGATCTGCTGCACCAGATCCACCATAGATGTCAGCCTATAAACAGCTGGGTCCGTCTTTCTCGACAGCATCTCTAATTCCTTGTAGAAACCATCGCGCACCCAATTATCATCCAAACTAATCACGTACAATTCGATATCCCGTGTTGCTAAAGACGCTGCTGCCGACCTGATCCGATACTTCTCGTCCTCCTCCAGCACAGGGCTGTGACAGGTGATCAGAGCTATCCTACGTTTGGTGAGCACTGTTTTTATCTTCAAGAAGATGTCCATTGAATGCGACAGTACATCATAAAGTGGGTAAGTATCGTCAGACTGCATACTCTGGTAACATCTCATGTTATCTTTTGCTGTGAAAGACATTGAAACAATGTTAGAAGATAAAAACAGATAAGGCAGATGGAAATTGTAATTAGTATCTTTGGAACATGCTGCATTGATCATTAACTGAGTTTTGTTGTTTTTGGTTTACTTAGTTTTCTGATGTGCTGTAAATCATCCAAGGTGACAACTCTCAGTGGTTGCAAAGTCTGAATATGTTTCCAACATGAATCTGGGTCCTTTTGCTCAGTGCCAAATAACACTACACCTATCCAATCTTGCATATTCGACGCTAACTTTTGTCGTAGAATTTGCTTGTATAGCTAAAAGAACAATGAAGACTATAATGAATTATTCTGTAAGACTTAAGAGCCAGTCTTCGTTATCGATGTAAAATAATATCGAAAGAAAATTCATAGAAATCACAATATATCTGATGTTCATAAACACATAATCTGCGAAATTTTAATAACCTTGAAAAATTTGCGGATACAGCTGATTTTATTTTTAGGATCTTCCTCAAACATTTTTTGTGTCGCATCAACCACAAACAATGTAGCTTCTCTTACTCCATACCATTGGCTCATTTCAAAATCTTCTTCCTCGTCCATATTTTGGTTTTGCATATTGACTGCTATCTCTACCATCACCACAATTTGTTACTTTGATAAGTATTTGATATTTAGAAGCATAAAAAATATAAGTACCAAGCAAAGCAAACAAGATTTTATATAGCTCAGACATAAAATGTGTATAAAATACGAAACAAACTTAATGTTGTCGTAGATAAGAATTATGTTAAATTATCATAATTAAATAAATACAATTAAAGTCACGATTAAATAAATGGTAAAAGCGACAATAATTTAGAAAGCTAAGATAACAATTATGATAGGGATCAAATGTGAAAACGAACATACTTGCTGTATTCACAAGTGAATTGTTAGATTTTTAGAGGTTAGCAGGATCCACCGACCATTGACAGGCTAGTAAAAAATTATACTAATTATACCACACTATTATATCACACTAATTTCTGCTCACTTCTGTTAAACACGCTATCTGTTAGGAAATTATAAAACTATAAAGGTGTATTTACACGGTCACACAGCAGAATAATCGGACTAATCATATAAACCGGAGAAAGGATTTAAATTACCAGATTAGTCCGATCATAATCCTCTATTCATAGTTTAATATGAGATTAAGGCCAGATCTACAATAGATGTAGTAAGCCTTAAGCCATAAGAAATTAACGAATCGCAATCATTCTTCTCACGTTCGACTCGGATTGGTCAATTTCTTCGGCTTAAAGTTTACTGCACCTATTGTAGACTTGGCCTAAGGATTTCAAAGTCTCATTTTCCGACGCGCTCCCTGAAAAAGTACATCTAAATCATATCGATTATACTCATTTTCCAGCGCTAATATTAAAGTTGTTTAGATAACACAGAAATTGTCTTTTATTTCTTAAAACACGACTTACGAAGAAAAATAATCTAATAAATAAAAAAAGAAATGATGCTTCATTTTTTATTTGACAACGACATATAGTTTTATTACAAAGTTTTATATTAAAATTATATTATTCCCCTTAAAGTAAAAATATATCTGGATATTACGCATTACCTGAATTCCTCAATAACAGGACTTTGACATTTGAATTTTATTAACATAAACACTTCATCATTCAAAGAAAAATAAAAGTATAACCGATTTCTAATTAACATTAATATAAAGTACGTATATTAGCGTTCAAGAAACACAACGATTGCACAACGGTTGAGTAATACGTCACCTAACTTCTAAGTTTAGGAATCTAACAGTAAAGATCGATAATCCGAATTCAAGAAAATTCAGATTTAAATTTACGAATCTAATAGTAAAGACAAATAATTACTAACCGCTCACTGATCGTTTTATTGCGCTGAACGTAACCATTGTCATTTCAATCCAGATGTTTGAATTAAAGTGGTGTGACACACGAAAATGTTGGAAATGTTACTCCGAAATCAATATAAAATGTTTGTAGATTCTAGCATAAGCTATGCAAGAATTCATACGTGTGTCTTTCATATATAATCCTTAGCTTTATATTAATTACTGTAATTCTGAGATGCTTTTGGAGAGAATGATGATTTTTTATACCCTTGTGAAAATAAACACTGTTTATATCCTTATACTTATTTATATTGTCAAAGTGATTGTTTATCAAAAATAGACTCCATATCCAAGCTAATATTATTTGTTGATTATGACAAAACATGATTTATAATAATAAAGAGAAAAAATATAGCTAAACAAAAATATATGGAATATGTGAAGAAATTAATACTAAAACACACGTCTAGCTAATATCTTTGTACTTTAGATGAATCTTCACATTATATATCATACAATGGTCACTTTATCACTCGAAAAGAAAATAGGAAAATGGAGCCTCCTTTTTAATCTTAACATATGTAATAGACTTTTTAATCTTAATATATGCAATGAAACTTTATGTCGGACATAAACTATCAGTTACTATCGATTTCTAAAGTTAATCTTTCCATTTGCTCTTACCTGATAACTATCGTCAAAATATGCAAAATAATATCTTTTGTTTTCATCTAGATTATAATCTTAAGTATTTATGTATACACTATGGTATTGCGTCTTACGGATAAATAAACATTCAAATTGAAACTGCTGCCTTAGTCACAATAATTTCTTTTAAACTGTGAACTAAAGCTTGCCATATGTGTATACGTATAAAACAAACTAAATATATACTATATTGACAATATAGTACTCTAAGTTAATTTTTTTGGTAATTTTTGTATAGAGATATCTCTAATATCTGCAATCATAGCTGTGTATGTTAAGGAGACTGGTAAAAAAACTTGTTATTAGTTTAAATCTCTGTGAGCATGAAATCATAGCTTTTACAACGAGGACATTGATGATGATCATGTAGAAAGACTATCTGTAATAAAAAGTAAATAATGATTGTAGTCGAAATGTTTGGCAACACTTTGGGAGAACTGAAAAAATTATCCGAAACTTCTAAGAAGGTAAAGATGTTAAAACAATTTTATTATACAGTACCTTGGGATGCTGCGGGCAGTAATAACGTACCCTTCCCTTTATCCAAAAGCCACATCTATTACAAATAATATTGGAATGTGGTCTGTAACAAATACAATCAGACGACATACTTGGATTATCTTTTTGGCTGCGCATCATGTCATTTTTGTTCAGGAACTTAGAATCCATTTTATTTATAGACAAAACCTAGAAGTGTTTAAATAAGACAGTTAATATTAGACGTTATCTGTTTATATACAATAAAGTTACACAGATTTTTTTATCCCATAAGTCAAATAATCGGATCGTTATATGAACAAATGAAGTAATTCATTGCGACGCTCTATTGTGCCATACAAACAATACAATTATCGGTATTTGCTACAGTATAACGATGAAACAATAAGTCTACGTCTTAGAAAATACATAGACGCTTTCTTATTATTAGTAACACAATAGACACATGTTGGTTAACGCAGATTGCCGTAGACTGAATTCTATCGTTCAAGAAATATCCTAAGTCGAGATAAGAGATAAGATAATCAACTCACCTGGAAGAGCACGCAGGAAGTAATACGCAACTGATTGTCGAATATATATGTACATCTACCGAAACTTCCGAGCTGTGTCTTTCAAGACTGCCCTCACAAAACTGAGACAGAGACGTAACGAAAATAAACAACCGAGTGAAGCTTGCTGGGAACGCGAAGACGGTCTTCTGCTAATTTCAAATCATACGTTGAATTTCAAATTACGGGATCGTGTGCTAAAATGACGCTATCAAATGAAATAAAGGGAAATAAAAGGAATATTTATGATAAAGGGCTATAAAGGGAATTATTACATAAGAGGTATATTCTCTACATGAAGCGAACGAACGTAAAAGAGACGGGATGCCATTCGTGTTGCGAGACTAAATTCTATTTTAATATTTACAGTTTATAGTAGTCGACCGTGTTTCTTCGGAGTTCCGACTTGACTGACGAATCGAGTTCCGAGTTAATTATTCCCGGCGGTTACTGAATGCAAGAAGCCGTGGCCGGTGGTCCGGTGCTCAACTAAAAACTGCTTATATTTGCAATTTCTCCTAAGCTAGGTGAAATAAGATCCTTTGATAGGGCATAGTGGCCTTTATACGAAGATTCTTTTAACAGACGTTCAACCTATTCTACTTTCTATTATCCGCACTCTTGAGTTTTACATTCTACACTCTATTAATTGCATCGAGTTGTAAACTAACTATATAAATATAAAGCAAAGGCGGAGCAATATGAGCACGCTGAAGTAGCACGGGAAAAAAGGAAAAGGACTATTTGTAAATTCTAAAGCCAAACGGAGTGAACGTCACAATTGAAATCGGAACAGCATGTTCGATCTCGGTGAATTCATAATTGATTTAATTGAGGTTGATAAATTAAAAATAAAAAATCGAATACATTGGAATCAACGGAAGATCGTCTTTCTCGAAGAAATAAAGCCGTAATCATTATAAGCTCATTGAAAATTGTACGTCATTGTAGATTTCGGCACTTCCAGTTGCGTTATTCATTGATCGCGCAAGTTGGGAGAATCATGAAACGCATTATGTCTGGATCTAATTAATGTATTGTATTTTTCCTCGTATATACAAAAACATATACGTGATTGTATAATTACAGTGCTCAGATGTAATCTCTCTCGTCACTTTCGATCCAACGTTGCGTTCTTCAACGTGGTTTATATGTAAAAATACCGAGAAATGATTTATACGTAATCGACATTGAAGAATGAGGCGATATTGATCGTTACTTCTCAACTTCCCGTTGAATTTTTATCACGCTGGTCGAGCTCTCTGGGAAATTTGGTATTGATTTGAAACTAGCAGGACATACCAAAGGAATTTCATGTCCACGTTACACACCTATTCTCGCTTTAGATTTTCTCCGTCGCGTCCTATGCGACAGATTAATACGTAAGTATGTTTCACTTCTTTTCAAATTTGTTCTCTCAAGCGGACAAAGGACTATCTAATGTAGATCAAAAATTTTCTCTTTTTAACTAGTAAAGTTTCTCACTCGTTCTTCCTCAATCAATATTTCCTTGTCGTTTCGCGCGCTGCAATGCTGATTACGGCACGGTGGGAAGCGACAATTTCAAAATCATACTCATCTAATATAGAAGAAAGGGTAGTACATGCGTTTCAACTCTAGTTCGATCCGTTATCGGGCCCGGAATCGAGGCTTCGCTCTGACGCTTAACATCTATAAACAACAGTAAAGGTATTTCATAAAAATATATCAGTGCCTGTCTCACTTCCGTGAATATTGGAGCTTTATCCTTACAGAGCTTGCATTGTAACGGTGTCCCGTGAAGAGATAAATAAAACTGTAATGCTGCAATATAAATCTCTCTGTACCAGGCCGTAAGATAGCGATCAAGTGCTGTGAGATATATTTGAAGATATCTGAAGATATTTCGGAAAGTGTCACTTCAAAATTCACATTCTTGAAAGACACCCGGGAAAAAGGATTATATATGATTATATATAATTATATAAAATCATGTATGAATTTTGTCCATATATGCGGTTACATATATGATCATATATGTCCATATGAAAGAAAATGGTGTTACATCATTTAATTAAATGTTGATATCATGCACTATCAAAAGCACAAGTAGCCAGAAGCATTCACTTCGTCGACTGTATTTGCATATAATTTAATAATTAAGTATTTTTTTCGTTATGGACATACATGATTATATATAGTCATATACGGACAAATTTCATATACGATCCTTCTTTTCCCGGGCATTTCCTCGAATTCGGCGGAGAGTTTCGTCCCGACGATTAATATTTGAAATACACTTTGCGCATCCGAAAATTGAGCTTCCAAATGAACAAAAAGTGAAAAAAAATACATTCGTCGGTAGCACTCACCGCTATGTTATCGCGAGGCATAGGAGAACCAGAAAGAAACATCGCGGCTGGATTTTCTGCGTCTATTTAAAACTTGCACGTCGTTCGCGCCGCATGGAAGACAAATCGCAAGATCAGTCGACATTGAACGCGAGGAAAAAAATAAACGTCTTCTTTTTCAGCTGCCCGCACTCGCCCGAGGTTTGTTGATGTGCGTCGTAAAATTCTCCAACGCACGTTTCGGCTATTAAATCGCTATCGCAAATCTTCGCGCACGGAGACACCGTAGTTTAGGTACATGGAGTATGTAGGAAACTTCGTTTTGAAAAATGTATGTAAGTACACACGATAAAAATAATTTACATTTACATGTGATCTCCTCCTCTCTCTCTCTCTCTCTCTCTCTCTCTTTCATTCTTTCTCTCTTTCTTTCTCTTGATTATCTTACGTATAAAAGTACTTCGGTATGTAATTGGCATTCATTTGTGAGGGTTGGACGCGCCTTCTATCTCACGCGTCTTATATATATATTCTCGAATTTCGTTCGAGCTAGCGAAGCGATTTTTACAGCGATGTAATACAAAAGTTAAAGATCTTCACGGAGATGCTCGCGGAAAAATCGACATGTCAATATACATTTATATTTGTGCACGGTGTTGTGTGAACGTTACGAGGAAAATAACACACACCACACACACACACACACACACACACATACGCACGCATGCACGCACAGTAGTTTCCGAAATCGCTATATTCCATGGAACGAGTATCTGTTTTACGTTACTTCGCGTCCAAATTTATATTTGCTTTGCCTCTTTTTTTTTGGTCCTTTTGCCGTACGTGATAACTGCGTGTACATTCGATAGTTATTTCTCTTTTCGTTTTCACTAAACTCAATTTTGTCTCCCACGCAATTTCGTCTAGCACGTTCACGCAACAAAGTGTTATTCCGCGGATTGACATTCACACGTCACTGTCAACGAATATTTCCGAGAATAACTTCACAGTTAACAAAGATGAATGCTCCTAATACGTGCTCGGACTAGTTTCTGCATTATTATTCCGTTTGACAATCGCGACGAATCTTGTCGTAGGACGTAATTTAACAGCAAATTCGCGTTTGTGGCCGACACTTTGCTTATTCTTAAAATATTTAGATTAGATTAGGAACCCGCGCGAAATGGTAGAGGGCGAGATCGAAACGAAAAGGTACGATTGTTGAAAAATACGGACTGCATTCGTTGGCTCCGCAAAGTGTCGCTTCGTCCGCGACCGTCCCGAAAACTTTCAGCCATCCAAGTTCCGCTGAAGAATAATCCTTGGTAATAAATATTCCGCGAGATATATATATTCACACGATCTCTCCTCAAGTCAACAAATATATCATCTTTCATCAGGTACACAAGCGATAACAGGTTACAAGCTTGAGTCGAACGGCTGCTGCGAAACTCGAGGTTCGATATAATTCGCTTGGCACGCGCGTTTCTGATTCACAGAACGCCTGAGTAACCAGCCGATCATTCGCGGATCGATTCGCAGAATATAAACGTCATCGCACGTCACAGGCAATATTTGGACCGCACAGAGAGAACTTCTCTTTTTATCTCGATACGATATATATGTGTGAACTAATTTATGTTTAAGACGGAACATTATTCGCGCGTAGCGCCAACTCGGCCGATCGATCGGGTCAACCGACGAACGCAGGTCAATCGCTCGGATTATTAAATATACAGTTGACTCCCTCAGGTGAAACAGCGATTCATCCACCGTCGTTCCTGCACGTCGAATTAGCTTAACTCGAACAGCCGTCGAAACAGCGACGCCAAAGTCGTGGAGTTTTCTCTCCTTCGCATTGTTAGTGATCTATGATTTCTTCGAAGACTCGCAGCACCATCACAATCCAGCTTGAGGTACATCGGCTACCTAAGATACCCCATCGTATTAGTTACAAAGTAATATCCGCGTCTCTATTGTATATTTAGCACCACGTTTCTCACAAGGTCGCTCATTAAAACTGTTTCCACTCGAAAACGCCGAGTTTTGTTCTCGTAGACGCGATTGATAATTTCACCGATGAATTATTTTAGATCGACGATGAAAATTACCTAATATGAGAAATGACGGAGAGCGTAATATACTGAAGAGGGGATTTGGCAATAAGTACTAAAATTTGACGAACATTTGCCGACCAAATTGATTGATTACCGCAATCAAATAATTTAATTCCGCATATTGTATATATAATGTGTAATTCCGTGTATATATTTAGTATTCGAAACTAAATTATATGGTTGCGATAATCAAATAATATGATCGGCAAATATTCGTCAAATTTTATTAATCATTATTTATTACTAAATTCTTCTTTCAATGTAGAAGGATACAAGGATGTAAAAATATGTTGACGAATAAAGGAAGAAAAACAAAACGCTGACACGTAAGAAGACAAATAAAAAGACATCGCCGCGTTCAGATAACTCTGAAACGAATGTCGTCTAAACGGAAGTGTCAGTGTGATACACGACGGTCCAAAGGTTTAATATTAAAAATGACTAGCTAACGAACGAGATACAAAGGCCTCCGGTTTCCATCGGTGAGGCGAAGTCGCGCCTAAAGTTCCTCGCGAACAGGACTTCGTGACTAGCAAACGTTCGTTTCGGAACACACTCAATACATGACGAGGGGGGATCCCTCATTTCGGCACGCGGGCAATTCATACGCGAACGCCAACGCCGTTGTCGCCCTTGATCTCCGACACGACGTCGAACGTGGGGGTGCAGATGTCGGTGGGTGTGGGGATGGCGAGGGGTGCCAGTCGCGGGTTCCTCTTGACCGGCGGGTCCTTCAGGATGTAACTCGTGCAGGGCCTGACCCTCAGTCTGCTGGAATGTACGGACGGTTCCAGCCTGAGAATCGCGCAGGACCGGGTCGACGGGTACCTCACGCGGTGCACCGATTCCGTGGACCGGCTCTGCATCACCGCCTCGATGGCGCACCTCTTCAGGTTCGCCGTCGACACCGAGTTGTAAGGCGGAGCGTCCCGCTCGGAGTCCGGGGTGAATCCGGGCGTGAGGCCGGGGTCGCTCTCCTCGAAGGACGTGAAGATGTCGGAGTCGGGCACCGACGGCGCGCTGAAGAAGGACTCGCGCAGGGACGACGTGAGTGCGTCGGGGCACATGAAGGGGTCCAGGGACGTGAGGTCGTTGAGGTCGCTGCCGCTGTTGCAGCACGTCTGGAAGTTGTTGACCGAGTAGGACGACGGGAAGGCGGTCGGGTGCTCGGTCACGCTCGACAGGACCTCTTGACTCCTGGACGACTCCGACCACTTCGAGTCCGAGGGTCGCCTCGAGCTGAATCTCGTGGAGTCGTGCTCGGCGAAGATAGGCTCCGGCAATCTCGCGTCCCTGCACTTGTCCGAGTTCCTCAGCAGCGCCTCGAACAGATCGATCGGCTCCAAGGTCGGCGTGGCGCCGGATAACAGATCGTTCCCCGACCCGTCTCTGCAGGTCTCGCGTCTGTCGATGTCGGACGGTTCGCTAAAGTCCTCGATATTCAACAACACGGTCGGTATCACCGGGTCCGAATACCGCACCGGGCTGCTTCGTTTGCCCAAGGGCGACTTGGCGCGTTGCGTCACGTCGACGACGGGCATCGGGATCTCGAGGCTTTGCGCCTCCTCGCCCTGAAGCGGCGCCGAGGGCAAAGGGTCTATGGGACTGGGCGGCTCCGAGTGTATCGTCGGCACGATCAAGGAGTCCATCAGGTTGGACGGCTCCAACAGCGTGACGCGTGTCGTCGGGTCGATCGTGCTGATCGACTCGGAGTGCTTCAGCAAGTCCAAGTTCCTTCGTGCCTGCGTCAGAGTTCTGGCAGTAAGGTCCACTCGGGTGTGTGCGCCTCTCGACGGTGGGTCCAGGTTGATCAGATTCGCCAGCTTGTTCGGCGTGATCGTCACGTGGCCGGGCGATGCGCTCCGCCGCGGACTGTTCGCGTAGCTCGGCTTCGTGCTGTTGGGCGCCGACGAGGACGGCGTGAAGTCACCTCGCAGCCTGAAATTCGGACTCGCGCGGCCGAACCGACGGAGCTTCCGTCGCGAGTGTGGCGAGCTCTTGGCTCGACGTTGATCCTCCATCTGTTGGCACAGCATCATCGTGTGCCTGGCCAGCGCGCCCTCGTACCTGCTCTGATTGAGATCGAGGTTCTGCACGGAGCAGCCGTAGCTGTCCGCGTCACTCGCCGGGAAGAGCTTCGAGCTCGTCCGCGAGGCGCGGCCTGTGGCCGCCTTGATGTCCGAGTCCGACATGGACGACAGGTGGGAGTTCCACTTGTCGCAGGCGACGTTGTTGCGGCAGAGCACCTCGTTGAAGTCCTTAGCGTCCATCCCGGGACTGTCGGCGTTCAGCATCGGGTCGGAGAGCGCGTTCAGCTGGAGGTACTTGCGACTGCTGTACGCCCCGTCGGTGCTCTTCAAGTTCTGGTAGGATATGAACTTCGGCTCGCTGATGAGCGGGAAGTTCTTGCTGCTGATCCGCTTGCGATTCAGCCGTCTCAGGTGGCGTATCTTGCTGAAGGTCGGGTCCAACAGGTACTTGAGGTTCTTGATCTTGTCGATGTTGTGGTTCGAGTCGATCACGTGACTCCGGTCGATGATGTACTTCGGATCGAGCATCTTCGTGAGATCGTGGATGTTCTCCTCGATGATGTCGCCGTGCCGGCTACTGGACGAGGGCACGAGGTCGGCGTCGTTCTTCTCAGGGGAGACGTTGGTGTTGTGCTTAGCCGACACTTCCAAGCACCTCCTGCTAGCGTAGAGCACACCGTGATGCTTGGCGGCGAAGCAGTCTTCCACCGGATGCCGCCTGCTCTCGTTGCTGTTGTTGATCTCGGCGAGCTCCAGGTTCGTGTTGGTGCCGCGTCGCGTCGGCGAGCAGCCGTAACGGCTCGGCATCAGGCAGACCAAGGCGATCAGGTCGCCCGCGATTTTACCCGCGGCCACGCGCATCTCGCCGTGGTGGAACGCGTAGATCCAGGGATTCACCCCGCTGTGCGCCAAGATCGGCAGGCCCAGCCACACCACCGACCAGTCCGACAGGATGTTGGTGCCGTAGAAGATGTCCACCAGCATGCAGGTCTGGAAAATGTGACGAGCGTGTGTTGACGACGCCGAGCCCATACGGAAAAGAAAGATTTAACATCATTTCAGCAAGATTTTCATATTCTCATGTATAAGCAGAAATATATAATCTTATGTGAAAGCTTGCTTACATGAAGAAGAAATTCTATATAGCTGCGCTAAAAATCTCTGGTTATTCCGAGAATAATTTTCATACATTGAGAGGGAAAAATATGGAATAGAGAGAACATTTTCAAACCGATGCGATTCTTAGTTTGGAGATATCGTTCTGCCTATCCGATATATTTTTTTCTCCCAATTCGTGAAAATTATTTTTGAATAACAAGTATATGATATCTGGGTGACGGATTGGTCGTGATGGTCCTCAGTCATAGTTCAGGATACGCTCTGTTCAAAAACGGTCTTGAATCTCGTCTGAAATGTGGAGGTGCAACATCGTGCATAAATCATATACATACATACTTTTATATGAATCGTGTGAAATATCGTCCAATAGGAAAACCAGCATCCGTTATGATAACATAAATATTCTTCTCCTAATCCTTACACGGCCTTAATTCATCTGAGCGTTTCAACCACTATGTTGATATAAACTTTTTCATTTGCATTAACGTACACACGGCCACATATAGCCAGTCAACCTTTTACGAAACATCCTGTACATAGAATTTCTTCATGTGTGCAAGCGTGTTTTATATTCGTATAATATTATATATTCTTGCTTATATATGAGAAGATGAGTCTTGAATCGATATTAATTTCTTTTTCTGGGCAATGATACGTTCGGGCGACGACGTTGCCGAAAAAGATAATATCGATTTCCGAAGAGACTAGCGGCAAGCGCCAAAGCCGATACGAGGGAACGCGCCCTTTGAAGTTCCTGCCTGCCTGCCGAGTATCGAACAATTACTTCACGATGCATTTCTCGCGTGTATTGTTTTTTTTTGGCAACGCGCGCAAAGGCGATGGTTAAACCTGTTTACGGTGCTGCCTGAGGGCGCGCGAATTTTCCGCGCTGCGCCGAAATTTACCGCATGACCAAGCGATCGCCCGCTGTACTGCAAGACGGCCGTAGAGCACAACACTTGGAAACGAATCGCGTGAATTTGCAGTAACAATGTTCCCGTGCCGCGAGAGAAAGAGAGAGGTCCGCAGGTTGTGGAAATATTTGCAGTTGTTTCCATGGCTTCGCCTGTTTCTTCAGCGCGCGGCGTTCGCAGGAAACAACAAGAGAGACGCGGCCGAAGTGCGACGGGGTTAACTGCGCCGTTCCCTCCCTTTTTCGTGGTCAGTAACTACCGCTTCTGTCACATCCACGCTCTTGTACTTTCGTAAATTACGACGGCACTTTCGCTCGCTAAGGACAAGACGAGGCGGAAGAAATTCCTCTTCCTCTCGTTCCTTTCGAACTTACTTATTCTTCGGTCGATCTTTCGATCGTACAGCCGACTCCATTAATGCCGTTCCATCCCTTAGGCATAGTAACATTCACAATTTTCAGTCAGAAGCATTATTTATGCATCATGGCTATTGATAATTTCATAAATCGGCAACGATTTATGAAATCTCCAAATCTCCAGCAGTCATGATGTATAATTATTCAAAAATAATGCGCCTAATTGGAAAATGAAGTCTACTGTAACATCAAACTGACACTTAACACATTAGCTGCGTTTAGCGGAAAAAGTGATCAGTGAGCAGTCATTGGTTATTGATTTTTATTGTTAGATCCTTAAATTTAAACCAATTACGTTGACGAATTACTCAACCGTTGTGCTCGCTGAACGCAACCATTGTCAACCGGTCAGGTAGATCTACTCTTTTCTCGATGATCGTTGATCGACCAATCAATCTACACGCAAAGAATTTTTCTCGAAGGTATAAATATTCGTGAACTAAAAGAGCACCATAGTATAGTCTTGCTCCCGGCTAAGATATATCTATAACGTCGAAATAATTTCAAATGCGATATAGGAAAATTTGGAAAGTAACGCGAATTAATTACGACACAATTACTCCAACTGCATATCGCTTTCCCGGCGCCACAGCCTATGTCACATAAAATGCAATTAAATGAGTATCCCGTCTTTCTATTGTTCTCATAAGTTCTAATTTCCGCCGAAACTTTCAAGCCAATTTCACTTCGCACTTAATCCGATGTAGAACTAAATTTAAGTTGTAGAACTAAATTAAGGAAATGCTAATCTTCTTCGCTACTACTTCATTTCTGATGGAAACACTGCATTCGTGTACTACATTCGCTCCGCATCGCGAAGTAGAACCGGATTGAAGCGGAAGATTTCGGTGGAAACTAAATCATGGACGGGTATACATAATAATACTATACGTTACACAATAATTATTACTCGAGATAAAAGCTTTTTCATCTGACGTTGGAAATAAAACGCAATCCAAGCTGCAGCGTCGAAGATGCATGTTAGTATGGGATATTTGTTATTTTTCTGATATTTTCCCTTGTGCGCGATGATATATTTATATACCATTAAATTAAAAATATACCTGACCAAACTCTATTCGTTTATGTTGCTGTCGTATACAGATTTCAACTTTAATGCAATCCTGTTTGAGCAAAATAACTCTAAACTATGTTATTAGTGTGTTATTAGTATTACTCAGCAAACATTTTCTGCGTGTAAACTTTTGATGATTCTGGGGAAAAAATTTACTTTTAAAAAAAAGTTATTTTCACTCTTAGATTTTATTTTATCGACTCCCACGTTGCACAAAAATTGCAAAAATTCAGGATACGTTACTGCATACTGTGTTTACGGAATGTATGGTTTTCAAAGTAAGACGCAACTCGCGCGATCAGCAATATGTGAAGTCCCTCGAAATTACTCCCGTCGTCGTCCGCGTAACGTCGCGCGATTATGAAAATTTTTCGCTCGGAAGACCAGACCAGGGTATCTCGCAACAAAGTTCGCGCGTATTTCTTCCCGTTTTTCGTAGTAAAGACGTTCCGTAGTAAAGGCATTCAACGAGCCGGATACGATATCGTAGCGATATCGCGTATCGGCTGACCTTTTATTTTCATTTAAGTTTTCCACTCTCGCGGTTCTCCCGGTATCGGAGCGCGTTGATCTCGCCAATATAAACGCGAAGTGCCGAGCTCGGAGAGGCGAATTTATCGCGTCTCGCAATCGTAGTGCCACGCATCATCTCGCGAAACGAAATTCCACGCGAGACGATAAACGCGTTTTACCTGCTACCACATAATAAACGTCCCGAGTCTGATCCTCTTAAGTGGTACACACGCGTAGGCCCGGTTCAGCTGACAAAATAACGCTGGTAAAAAGTGCACGGTATTATGGCATGACGCAGGTCGTGTCGAAGAGTAAACAAATCATTACCTGCTGTGTCCCGAGGTAATCGTCTGTGAGATGATGAGATGAACGTCAGCGACTTTGGACGGGAAGCGTTATCCTATAAGCGGGTTTTAGGTCGTCGGGGAAGAAAAAGCCGAATAAAATAGGCGAGACCATCCACGGAAAAAACAGTTTGGTCGAAGGAAGAAAACTCACCTGAAATGGACAAATCAAGCGCGTTTTGGTTGAAGGAAGCAGAATTTATCATTCTCATGAGTCAAATTCGGTTTTACAACCAGAAATTCTGTTTCCTTCAACCAAAAGTCGCACTTGGTTCGTTTTTCAGATTATATTTCAGATAAATCCGACCAAACTGTTTCTTCCGTGTAGCGATGATATTTTGACGCGAATGCTCATGTAACAGAAGGAAAGTATATAGATATGCGTTTTTCTTCCTAATGAATTAAAACGCAGTTGGATAATTAAAAGTCGCCTATCTTTTACTTCAATAAATTTCGCAACGCATTTCGCGTCCAATGGGAGAATTTATTTTTTAATGATTCTCATATATACGTTTCTTTATAGACGAGATGCGTTTCGAAACTCATTGAAATAAAAATGTTGCAACCTTTGATCACCGGACTGTGCAATCAATGGCAAAAAAATACCTTTCTTTTACAATGAATTTTGCAAAATGTTCATATCCGATGGAAAAATTTGTTTTTTGGTACTTCTCAGGGGATAAGTTTTCAGATTGGATATACCAGATGCATTTTGAAGTTCATCGAAGTAAAAATATTGGGATATTCCTGATCTCTACTAAAGATACGCGCTTCTTAAACAGTCGGCGTCATATATGCTGTATTATTCTCTGTTCTCTAAATTTCTTGGAGTAAGTTCTAAATTAGAGTGCAATATTTTCACCCGCTTGGAGTAAATTTTTACTCGTTTGGAGTGAGAGCTCACTCCGAGCGAGTGAAAATATTATCACTCTTATCTAGAACTCACTCCAAAAAATTTAGAGAGTAGATCGAAAATTACACGATCTTCAATCTCACACATGTGCACATAAGTAAAATTATATATAGGATGGAGCAATAACGCGATTTAATTATACGTAAGATTACGCATCGGTTTTAATCAACGTTCGCGTACTTCACATGCGTCTCTCTCTCTCTTTCTCTCTCTTTTCCTCGTGTAATTTTTTCGCCGATATTATTGTCGCTACCGTGACAGGTACATTGAATATACAAGCTGCAAAACGCGCACCCGGCCCGGATCCCGCCTAAGCACTATATCAGACTTAAGCCCCATTCCCGCGCACAGTACAGGAACGTAACGCAGCAGCGGCGAAATGAAATTGATGTCGTCCGACGTCTAAGTGGTGACAGAGTTTTAGTGGTCAGACACGGGCGCTACGCGGAAACGCGCGGCTGAGTTCCTCGCAAGCTCGTGGAATAAACGAGCCTGGACGCGGAGCTTGTAAATCTCTCACGAAGACGGGAATTTGTTTACGAGCGCGCTGCTACTCACTTGGAATGGAAGCCACAGGATGAGAAACGCGCCGACCGTGACTGCCAGCGTCTGTCCGTAACGAGGCAGCGCCAAGGTCTGCGTTTGATGTCTGAACGATAGCTCCACCGTGTAAATCGCCCGTGCATGTGCACGCGCGACAAGGTAGACGTACATGTAGCAACTGAGCAGAACAAGGGCGCTCGGCGCCCAGACCGCCACGACCAGGAACACCCTGACCGGCGGCAGCACGGCCGCGTCGAATCTGCAGTGCGCGCTGCGGGAGAAATCAGACGGGAAATGAGATAACACACATTTCGTGGCGCCTATGCATATATACATAACTTTTTTTTAATATTTAAAAGATGCGCGTTACATATAGTATCCGTGAGAAGAGGGGGAAACAATGTTTGTATTTTATTATGAATTTATATTTACATGTATTTATGATCCTTTAGACTTCCGCGGTGTGAATAAATACTTGATTTGGCCTCCGAGTTGGCGCCCTTCGTGGATTTGTTTCCGACGCTTCGTGAACATTTCAGCTCACCTCGATTCATTTCAGGCATCCTGAAGAAGTGAGCTGAAACGTTCACGAAACGTCGAAAACAAATCCATGAAGGACGTGGCGCTAACTCGAATGTTAGGTATATGTACTTTTATTTTCTAATGATACATTTTGTTGGATTTATATTTATATATACTTATATATATATATATATATAATAGTACATATTTTGTTAGATTTATACTTATATATCAAATTTAACAAAATATCTTCTCTCTCCGTGAAGTGCCTTATTCTATGAACAAATAATGTAAGACAATAGTCGCTCTTGAGATATGCGCGAGAAGATCGCTTAATCCTGACAATAACATGTTAAGCCTATCAGACTTAGACGCATTTTCTTTCGCTTACTCCCTCTTCCACATTTTGCGAAAGACACTATACTCCACTATTTCTGTTACTCAGAACAAAAGTCAGGTCCATGTTGCCACTATTATTACCAGCCTGGTCCAATGAGATAATTGATTTTCTCTGGCGGCGATCAGATTCATAAAACAAAAATTGGCAATAAACTTAATAATTCATAAAAGATCACAAAAACTACGATTTCTACCATTTTTTTCGTGATACCGGCCTGAAAGACCTCTGATATTATTTCAATATTACGATCGTGACACTCTCAAGGTCAATAAAGATTTATCCGGCGAATTTAACCGGTTTCTGATTTTTTACAGATGCATTTTGTTCACAGCAGTTTTAGAGAGATGACACACATACGTCAGCGTACAACTTTCTCACGTGCGGGTCGCACGTGACGATAACGCAACGTGCCGAGAATGTTAATATAAATTTATATCTCGTAAGTGCAGTGTGTGTCGAATATATAATACACGGGGGCTGCGAGCTGCTGAACTGTGCGGCATATCGCGGACGGAAGATCGATGGCAGCTTTCCCCCCTTAGGTTGCTTTGATTGCGAAGGTACGCGTCACAGGGTAAAGAACCTCCTTGTCACCCTTTGTAGTCCACGTTTTAGCGCGTTACTTGATCGGTCGTGCACAGGCTGCGACGCAAGCTGCGAGCTCACGCGCGGATAGGAGAGCTCGCCTCCCTCGCCGGGGCGGCGCAAGCAATATACCGCAAAGCTAATACCCGCCGCAAGTCCCGAGAACGATGTAATTCGACACCCCGTGTGTACTTTTACGCCGTGCCGTCGATTGGGTTACGCGGCGCTGATTACCGCGCTGAAAATTACCTCGTATTTACGTCCGGTCCGTGTTGAAAAGGTCGCTCGCGATAAATGCCCGGGGTTAATTGCGCTCGTTCCCGAAGAATTACTGTCCGCGAAGTTCGCTCGCGGGTTAACGAGGTAACGAGGGTTTTTAAAATAGAAAATTATGCGCGATAATATCTCTCCACCCGCCGTCGAATCCCATATTTCGAAGTTTACTTCTGAACACTCGGGGCGGGAGAGGACGGAAAGAAAAGGCATCGCCGCGGCATCGTCGCGGATAACGAGAAGTTCGACGTTTCTTTTCTTCCTCTCTTCGTGGAAATAACGAAAACAGAGCCGGGGGACATTGAACGCTCTGGTAAAATGACAACTAGAGGATATCTTCGCAACCGTCGCGCGATATTAACATCGTTTCTCTCCGACAGAACTGCTAAATAACGCGGCGTTACGTTGCCGTAATTAAAACCACCTTACCGCCGCGAGGTGACGCTAAGCCCTTTGACGCAGCTCCCTTTATTTCCACCGAAGCACCGGGAAGCGGGATTTAGATAATGGAGCGTTAAAAAATGACCTCCGACCCGAGGAAAAAAGTCGCCCCACATTCCGTAACACGATTGTGCCTTTACGATCTCACCGTAGTACCTCGCACACATACTCTGCACGTAGCCGGATTTCAGATATTATGCCATCCATATACGTATTCGCTCTATTCGAAGCGGCACGCATCGCAGCATGAAATATATCTAAATCATATAGAAGTTTTCAAATAGAACTTGAATGCAATCTCCCCCTCTCTCTCTCTCTCTCTCTGATAATTCTTTTCGTGTAGAAGCTGTAGGCGCTGCACGTGGAACATCCGCTTAAGTTCGTTGCAACGAGCGCACATCATACGAACGGACTGTCCGACCAGCTCGAAGTCGTTAATCAGCGAAACATCCCCAGGCAGAACAAATTTCTAAAAGATGTCTTAGAGATGTCTAAAAGACGTTCTATTATTTTTTAAATATTTCTCAGGTCCTTAAGAGGTCTTTCAGAAATTTGTTCTGCCTGGGTTAATTCGACCGGACGCTATTAGCGCGAGTTCCGAGTGACTCGCATCTACGTATCACAATCGGCGGATTTAACGGTTTTTCTCGTCGTGAGCGACGCACATCAGACAACGCCTCCCGATCGTTCCCTTGTGCGATAACAATGTTACACGTGTCGCTCGGCCTTCCTAATCACGAGGTAAGTTTTTCCTCGCGACACCTGTTCCTCGCGATAACTTGACTGCACCTGCGAGCAACACGCGAACTCCTTGCTTCTTTATTTCCGTTCGCCCTCGTTCGTTCGTGATGTCATAATTGACGTTTGAAGAGCGAAAGAAAATGTTTCACAGAAAGAGAGAGAGAGAGAGAGAGAGAGAGAGAGAGAGAGAGAGAGAGAGAGAGGGGGGGCAATAAACGAACGAATTTAATGGTACACAAAGCTATTTTAACGCCAATTTAAGAATCATAGCGTTACTAGACTTGTTTGTACAGTACATCATAGCGTTACTAGACTTGTTTGTACAGTACAGTCAAAAATTTATCGAAATAAAGCAGAATGAAAGAGAAAAATAAGGTCGAGAATTAATCCTCACAAGGAAAGGTGAAATAACAGGATGTAAGCAGAAAAGTGAGGTGACCTCATGAATGGCCCAAATATAAATATGCATTCTGTTTGATTAAAACAAGGAAAGGGCATGAAAATCACCTTGAACAATAAGCAAGAATATATTTTTCAGAAATATTCTAACAATGTATAATAAATATAAACACGCGCGCGTCTTGCTGGGGCCACGAATGACCCTTACCTTTCCTCGCGAGAGTAAGAACTAAAATACGTCATTGCGTTAATCATTGCGTTAATTTACTTTCAATTGAGCAGTTCGTACACGCCACTCCGAGCGAGCCGAAATTAGGGAGGTTTTATTGGAGTCGGTAATTCCAGTAAAATGGCAGTTCCCCCGTAGTAAAGTACCCCGCAGCGTAGGGTCCTTGAATCTATTATTTAGAGTAATCCTTACGCGGAAGGAAATTGCTGTTTATTTATTTAACGTATATCCGCCAACTAGATACGTTGCGAGCCTTGCGATACTCGTTGCAGGGAATTTTCCGCGAACGGCTGCGAAATGTTGCGAAGGGGGTGCTTCGCTGCGTGAGAGAATGCTCACCTGTTCGGCTGCATCCCGCCGATGATTTGAGCGTAGATGAGGGGCGAGAGGCCGACCGCGATCGCGTATATCCAGAAGACCGCGATGTACTTCTCTATGCTACTGTGGGTGATGATGTTCTTGTAGCGCAACGGCTGCGCCAACGAAGTCAGACGGTCGACCGCGATCGCCACGGTCACCAGGACGCTCACGCTGCAGAGCGCGATCACGATGCAGTACGGCACGATGCAAAGCGTGCTGACGCCGTTCTCCGGAAGACCGGAGAGCTCCAGTTGCATCCCGAAGGGCATAAACACGCCAACCTGCACGGGAGCATCAGGACGACAGGTTATTGCGACGTTGAATGAGGCTGTCGCGCCCCTGAGCCGGCCCATAAACCGGACTCCGGAAGGGACGCGACCGCGAGATTAATATTGCTGGTCTCCGTTTCAGAGGCGATTTGCCGAGTTTGCAGCGGCGACCCGAATGCACGAACGTGTCAATTCGGTCAATGCGAGGCAATGAAACTAACGTGACCTATCATCGGACAATGAACAGCGACGATAGTCTCTTTTGCGTGATTTATACTTGCCCTCTTAAGTCGAATCAATGAAAATGCCACTGATTGAATCAGACGCAGAGAAAAATCAGTATCGATTCAAGATTCATATCCTTATGTATAAATGAGAATATATAAACTTATGTGGAGATAAAATTTGCTTACATGAAGGAACTCTGTATGATTCCACTAAAAATGTGATTTTCTTGTTATTAAAGAATAATTTTTATAAATTGAGAGGAGAAAATATTGGATAAAGAGAACGATATCTTCAAATTAAGAATTGTATCAGTTTGAAGATATCGTTCTTTTTATTTATTTTTCATCGGGAATATTATATATTCTTGCTTATATATAAGAATATGAGCCTTGAATGTTGACATTAATTTTTTCAGTGTAATTTGTACGGTAGTTAAAGTTCTCGGATTCGAATCCTATCAGAGCGTGTTTTTCAAACACGAAGTAAATTAAACCAATTAAATAAAATTAAGGATGTTTCAATAAAATCGGTAAAATCGTTGACAGTTGTTAAAAGCATGATTAAGATAATATAGAGAAAAGAGACGTGTTAAATAATATCTCTTTTCACCGATTCTGTAGTCGGATTTCCCTGATGGAAACAGTCGCTGCTATCGACAGACTTTTTCCGCAAAATTTTTACAGTTCTATACTCATAACTATGGTCTTCAGTGACTATTGGCTACTTCTCTGCGATAATACACTGACTGTATTTTAAAGAATGAATTATTACTGTTCCGTGAATTACGTGTGTTTTCTAAATTTATAATATAATATTATTATCTCTTGAGCGTTGCGTGACAAACAAGTTTCTGGTAGATACACAAGGGTGATACAAGCTATACGACGAGCACGAAAAAGAAACTCACCCCAAAGTCGCTGATAGCCAAGGAGACCAGAAGGCAGTTGGAGGCGGTCCTGAGCCTCTTGTATCTGTAAAAGGCGGCCAGGATGATGGAGTTGCCCGTGACCGTGATGGGTGATAATATGCACACTATGGAGACCGCGAGGAACACCGAGATGGGACTGACGTCCAGCTGCGGGTCGATCCTGGTGACGGTGGGTATGAGTGTGGTCGTCAGTTCCCCGGCAACGGTGGTCGGCAGCGTGTCCGTGACGAGCGCTGACATTGTCGCTCTCGCAACGTCCGGGCGGTCCGCACTTTTCTCGCCTACGCCTCGGCCTTCCTTAGGTCAAGTTCCGCTCGTAGACGCGTCCTCCTCCGCGCGACGGCATGACGCGAAGTCTTCCAGACTGCCAGGTTGCGTCGGGAACACGGTAGATTGACGGTGAGTCACTCGCGACTAACGGCGTCCGTGTCGCGCGGACGCTCGACGAGCTTGGCGCCGCTGCTCGACGCTGTAAATAAGCGAGCAACCGTGTTTCTCGTGGGATACGTTAATAATTGGATTAGCAATTGTGTGCACGACTCGAGAGAGGCTGAATATGAAGGAATCGAATCCTATATTATTTGCGTGCGCGAGCATTCCCTCTCTACCCCTCCCCTCTCGCTCTCTCTCTCTCTCTCTCTTTCTCTTTCTCATGCAACGTCGATATACAGGATGAAGCGATAACTATTGCATCTTGAATATCTTCAAGATAATTATATAAGAATAAGAGAAAAATATATCTATCAAAAATTACATTGATGCCGATAGTCCTTACTTCGGGTACCTACTGAAAATTTATTTTATTTAAACTTATTTACCTTACCTATTTACGGAAAAGCTCGCCCTCTGATATACATAATTGTGATCATTTAGGAGAAAAATAAAATATATAAATAAAATTATAAATATACATAGACATAAAAAGTCAAAAATTTGTTTATAATAATAGTTTTAAATGAAGATAATGACATAAATTTAACTACACCATTAAAATTATTCACAAGCATAAATAATCTATTGATTGGTTTAAATTCACTATAACGTGTGCAGTATAATTTAACATGGGAAAACGAATATCTCCTAGCGGGCCTAACGGAAATACTAAATATAAATTTTTCATCCTCACCTAGTCATTAATAGAATATTTTTATCTTCCGAAGATATTCAAAGTGGTAATTGTCTCCCTCTGCATGATATTCTTAATGTAATATTTCAAGTGTAATATTACTGTGTAATGTTTCTGAAATCGTAAACATTTATTTTCTCAGAGTCGCGGGAGCAAACCTTTTTAATGATAATTTAAACAAGCTGTTATGTACAGCAAGGCATTTTTATGAAAGAGGTTGTTATTGCTCCTCCGCGAGTTTAATTATTTCCTGTAATTTTAGAACCGCCCGGCAGTTTTACGTTTGTTCGTTTTCGGCGGGACAGGTTAGCTGATATGGAAAATGCAATTTTTGCTCGTAATAGCGTTGCGGCTGGGTTTAGTTTTACTGACCTTGCACGACGCGGTATATTCCTTGCGGCAGCATTGTGGTTCCCTATGTTCGGCAGTCTGAGGTTTCCCTCTTTATTAATGAGACTTCCTCGTGACGGAGGCGTTTGTGCTTTATGTCGGAGCGATCAAATTGTCGAAAATTATGAGTACGTCGAGTTTCGTAAATTCCCTGACAGGAAACGGAAATATCTCGATATGCCACGATGTGCCGTTACCGTCCTTGACCCTCTCTCTCTTTCTCTCTCTCTCTCTCTCTCTCTCTCTTTCGTTTATTCTATTCAACTTTTCCTGTTTACGATTCCGCCGACTTCGTCGTACCCCTTCGTTTCCTGAAATGAAAATTACACCGGCGCCTCTAGTTATTCTTTCTTTCATAGAGCGCGGCTATTGTATAAAATTGTCTTGTAGAGTAGCACGTGCGTAAAAAATTGCCGACGGACTGTCGCGCGAGGCCGATTTCAGCGTGCACGTAACACATAAAAACGAAATTCTTACTTAAGTAATTTCTTTTTATTCGAAACAAAAAAACGCAAGCAGCGTGTATCTCTTCTTTCTCCCTTTGAAATTTTTCTCACGCGCTTTCGTCGCTTTCGATGAGAAAAAAACCATTCGCACCTTGCATTGTGTTCGCGTCCACCCACGAATTGACGAATTATACGATCGCCCCGTTTGAGAAAACGATCGTTCGCGATCTACGGCAATGACGAATTCCTCCTCACAAACACCTCCATCAATCCGCAAATATATACGAGCGGAGAGGAGCGGAGGAGCGCGCTGATTGCATGAGAGAAGACGGGCTTTACGAGCGTCACCGCGCGTTAATAATAAGAGAATAATCGCTCGCGTTCGTTCGCGAATAAAAAGGCGAATCCTGGGCCGATAGTCGGGATGTGGCGCCCGTTGAAATTCACCCGTGCATCAGCCATTATCCGGCATTTGCAATTCGGATGAAGCGGAACGTTAATGCTCGCACGGACGGACCGGCGACCGACGACGTCTGGATCTTCGGGGGGTGAATGGAGTTTTAATACCGTCGGAATCAAGCCGGGGCAATTTGCCGAACGCGTTCACGTGGCAGTACCCGTGGCGTCAGAGCATTTAATCAATTTCGAGGTGCCAAGACGTATCTCCGCCTGGAACGCGCCACGAAAGCGCTCGGCGCGCTTAATGTCGAATCCACGCAATTATGGAGCGCTCCTGCGGCCCCGAGGTGTAATTAAGATCGGCAGCGTGGGTTTTTTTCTTTTCTTCTCGAGCATCGCCACGACGAGTCCGATACTCCTTCGTTCTCGACGCGACGAGTGATCCTCGGGGATTCGGCCGGGTAGCTACTCCGTCGTCTTTCGCCGCGGAATAGAATCGCAATCAGCCTCGTCAAAATTACGTCACGTCGGACGCGTAAACGCGACCCGGAAAGGTGACACGGCACGCGCGCGAGCTTATGTACAGAGCTAGGGCGCGGGAACTTATCCTATTGTGGTTTTGACGTAGTCGAGGACTCGATCAAAATCAGGGCATGTCGATGATATTATTATTCAGGATAATCAGGTCGTGAATAGGCCGTCTCTTTGTCATCGCATATTCGAACATTACGTCCTAGTTTCGAGCTCGTAATCGTTATTAATAGAGCCGTCGCTGTTAGGGAGGAGGAATGCAATTTTAACGGGAGGAGATGAGGAGGGGGAAGGGATTCAGTTTCGCGGCGATATCAAACGCCATCGAAGTTAACGCGGCCGATATCGAAAACTTTCACTCTTGTTTCCTCCCCCGCGTCGGAACCCTGCAGAATAAAGCTGCGTGGGCATGCGATGCAGCTTTTTACGCCGCGTTGAAGACGCGTTATTGACGGTAGATACGATGTAAAGTCGCTCGAGAGATGTCCCGACTTTCTTTATTATTGTATTATCTTGACTCGCAGACCGGAGGAAGCCAGCCTCGGAGCGGAAGCTTTCCAATTCTGCGGAGTGCGCGAGGCTATCAAAATCGTGTTATACTTTGCGGTTTCGCGCGCGGGATAAATTAAAATCTCCCCCTTTAACTTTCTCCGCGTGGCAGGAGACGAGGGTTTTATAGTTTCCCAGAAATTGCAAAACTTGCGTGCGGGATCAAGCGGGTGGTAGTTCCGTGCGTTTGATCCGCCGGTGCGTGACCAACGTTCAGAGAGGTAGCTTCACCCTCGTGTTCTCGATGCGTTACGAGATTTCGAATAAAAAATGCTGCGAATAATACTTCATACGTTCACCGAGAGGCGGTGCCGAGGTCACGAAGGATCTATTAAAATATGCAATATCTTAGTACGAATAATTCCCCCCGGGCGTGCGTTATACGCAGGGGACGGGAGGTTGGTAACTTTTTCAAGCGATTGCGAGAGAAGAGTAAGCTTGTAAGCTCGTGTAAGCTCGTGTAATCTCTCGACCGGAGGCTGGAAGAGGCAAGTTCGCGCCAAGTTGCCCGTTGCAACATTTTCGACCGGTTGCGCGCAGTTGACCTTTTACGCGCGTAAGCGCGGTATCTTCCAGCGATATTTCCAGCCGGTTTCCATTCCGTGACTTCGGTTTAGGTATCGTGCTGACGGAGCGTACCGTACACCGTATCGTGTATATAAATCTGGCCGAGCCAGTCGAGGGAAATGGGTAATCCGTCGTAACTGTTACTAAACGCTCGATCGGTCTTCCTGCATTCTGTCAACCAGTAAAAGCAGCAAGGAAGTAACGAGGCGCGAAAATTGGTTAACCGGAAAACTGATGGCCGCCTGGATTATATGACGTTGCTCCTAATCGGAATGTATAATATAATCGCGCGGGCAAAAGCGCGATCTGTGTGCGGCTGGCGGTAGAGAACGCTTTGTGATTAATTATCCAGAAAGTCTGTTTATTATTACGAAGCTAAGAAGTCGCGGGAAAAAGTAGCGCGAGTGCTCGAGTCGTCGTCGTAAAGGAAAAGTTACCTCGAGATTCCCCCGCCTGAGGAATGTATAATTCGTCTATATAATTAGTCAAATTTTGCGTAGTACGCGAGCCCAGTCAACCGCCCGACAGTCTATAAATGGACCCCGTCGGGTGTTGTTATGAACGAGCAAGTGTGCTTTCGCGACGGTCGCAAAATTCCATCACGGGCATCGTGACGGAAAATACATCGACGGTTCCGTCGCAGATGCATATTTTCATCGCCTACTTATCGCTCACCGTCATTATTCGCGCGTTAGACGAGTGTCCACCCCCTCACTTCCGCTCTCAGCGCGATCGACGCAATCGATTATCCGAACGAGTGAGTCGCGAAGGGTAGCGTGAATAAATCGTGGCAAAGAAAATTTCCATCTTGGGGTAAGCCGCTACGGATGCCGATTAACAAAGATAGCGGCGAGCGAATCTCCGCAGAGTAAGTAATAAATCTCGGGTTTCAGGTCCTTTTAATTCACCTGTTCTATTTATGCCTCCCCGGGGGCCTTCGTAAATATCGTTCTTCGCGAATCCTTGGATATTTAGCGTTTTTACTCTCCGGTATCAATGCGCTGAGGGGTACACGCGGGAAACGCGAGAGCGCACGAACCAAAATTTCTCGTGGATTCTTCCCTTCTTTGATTTTTTGCCAAGACCTTCCTTCAGCTTTCTTTTCCCCGGGTCTCAAGGATTTCTATTAAGGAAGTAGGTTGCACAGAGGATGAAAAGAAGCACTCGTGGCACACCTCACTCTTTCTGAAACAAATTTACGCAAAAAGGAAAACTGGGAGAAAGAGAGGACGAGGAGAGTAACCGTTGCAAAAGTTTCGGCCGGAATATAAATGATTGAAACGTACCCGGGACGCTACGAAAATTCGCAAATCGAGGACGCTAAAAAAAAAACGTGGGATATTATTTTTATTCAAGATATTACTGTTGCACACCGCATATGAAAGCCGTGATAAGTAAACTGAGTGTTCGAGGCCTGAAGCTGCGTTCCGAAGCCTCAAACGTGCGTTTTACGAACCGTGATATAATCCGTCGCTATCAAATATTGACAAAAAGTATCTCGCTCAAGGAAGGAGTTAGCGTGGCGCGTACGAATATCCCGGGGAATGCGCGTTTCCAACCGAGCTTTCCCCGCCGACGAGAACGTTAATCCGGAGAACGCATCGAAACAATGCCGGAATAGTTATTCGACCGGCACTCTGCGCATCGAGGCGGAGCGCACGAGGTTGCAGTCGATCGTCGGAACGGAAAACAAATTGCGTTACGAAGTTTCAACGTAGTGATGCGAAGATACGTTGGATTTCGGTTCATCCGCTCACGTGCGGCCCCACGACGGTGTGTCGCGGTCCACCGCGGGTAAGCGTTTCGATTTCCGATAGAGCCCGTGCACCCGGCATCCGTCTGATAATCAACTCAGGAATTGGACGTCTAATTGCGGCGGACGCGACGAAGACTGCGCTTCTTTCGCGACATCCCCGTGATTTAATTGCGGTTTACGGCACGTCGCGCAGCGGAACGGGTAATGTTCCGACCACCCTCCTCTGCTCGTCCTTGGCACTAGTTTCGCTTCCGCGCGCCGGAGAACCACGATCCGCCGTGCGAGATGTCCTTGGATCGAAATTCGGGAGGAATTCGCATGAGAATTTCAAGTTGATAAGAACCATCGACATACAGCACTGGAACGGAGCATATGGCGAGATTATTATTATTATTTCTTCTGTGTTGACGGGTCTATCAACACGGTTTCGATTTCATGCTTCGTCCAGTACTACATGTCGACGATAAGAACGCACAGTGCGAGACGACGTTCCGCGAACGTCACTTTCTGCGTTGTTCTATTCGGGAAATGCGGGTCACTCGCGACTTCGGAATATTTACTAATCGGTTTAGTGCTTCGCCTCACTCGGCCATGCGAAATGCGTGCGCGCATTCATTCGTGTGTGCTCGCGGACTTTTCCACGGAAATCACGAAGAGCGAGGAGAATTTTTTAATACTTCGTTATATATCTTTCGGGAGGCGGGGAGGTGCATTCGCGCATTGAAATCTTTGCGAATCGCTACTCACGAGTCACCGTCCCGCGGTTGCGGCAGAAAAACATGCGGTCTCTCTCCCTCGTTCCGTCGCGCGCGAGATCATTCGTGATTTTCTCTGATAGGAGCGAAGTGATTATCCGTAAAGCGCGTGAAGCCAGTAGATTCCGTTTAATGTATACATGAGTTTTTTAATGGTAATACGGCGGTCTCGGTGCAAAGGCGCGGAATATTTATTCCGAGCATAGCTCGCGCCTCTCACTATTCCACTCTTTGGCGGCATGAATATTCAGATTTAGGTCTCATCGAGTCATGCATTGCTAATCGTCTCGTCCTTGCGATGTAAATAT